CTCATACATATATGTTGTATACACTGAATGGCCAGATTATTATTATTATGAGTCAATACCAAGAAGAATCGCCGCAGTATTGAAGGCAAACGGTGGCCCAACCAAGTACTGATGGGGGGGTCATAATAATCTGGCCACTCTGTGTGTGTGTGTGTGTGTATCACATTCATTTACCCATATCTTCAGGAAAAAAAATCACTTCTGTTGTGGTAAACAACCTGCTTCCCTATTTATAATGGCCTGGTCCTCTAGCAACTTCAGCGCAAAATTATAGCTAATTTGCCTACAAACGTCAGGTGGTCATAATAATCTGGCCACTCAGTGTACATGCCTTGCTAGCTCCTGATTGGTGCTTTCAAATAATTCTGACTTAGAAACATCCTAAGAATTTGTTTATACACCTCACTGTCTTGCGATTGGTTATCTGCAAGCTGCCTGCTTTAGCAACATCCATACATTGCAAAGCTTGGGCTCTCGTGGTGCCCTCTTTTTCTGCCCAGCTGAGTTGCTTTAGCAATTTTGCCTAGCTGGGCATAATCTCCCCCTCCTAGCAAGGTCTAGTTCTAAGTCATTTTGTCTGTCTCTGTGGTTTTTCTCTGAACAAGGCTCGGTCAGCAAGTTGTATTCTGCCCATGTCTGCAAACGCTCCACTTTCCAGCCCCTGTGGTCCTGTCCCTGTCTACCTTGCTTTTCTCTGTCTTCTCAAATGTATAGACATCGTTCAGATGTCAAAATCTTGTTCATACTGGGAAAAAAATACTGCTCAGGAAAATATTTATTAGAAACAAAAAATTACTTTGTTCATATAAAGTTTCTGGAGTATATTTTTAAGTTAAAGGAATGTAGATAAATGCAATTTTTATTTTCATATATTATTGTTTGTAGTTTTTAATTTACATGTTTGTATTTTATATTTTTTGCCACTTTAAAATACACTAGAAAATATACATAAAGCTTTTATTTCTATTTTAAAGCATTTTATGTTTTCAGGTTTTATTTTATTATTTATTTATTTATTTATTTATGTTTGGTGGTTTTTATTTTTATTTTTGTATTCAGACACCCGTGAACTAACTGTGCAGCCTCATCCTGCCTTGTCCAAATGAAAGGGCATTGTCAGGGCCCCTCCCAGCTATCCCCACCCTCCACCCCCAAGCCAGAGGGGAGGATGTCAGAGGGGAGCCCTTCAGAGAGAGCACAGCAGGTCTTCCACGCATCAGCGCGCACCGAGGCACTGCAGTTGCCTACTGGAAGTTACAGTCGCAAGGTGGCGTCCATCCCCCACAGATCAGCCCTGCTCTCACCCTCCGCACCCTGCAGCATGAGCAGGGCCACCCCAGGTGTTCCTGTCCTCTGCTCCACAGCTCAGGGGCACCGTATGCAAATGAAGCCCAAGCAGGAGCAAGGCCCAGTCCCGTGTTCACACAGAGGTGCCCTTCTGCACTGGAACATGGGGTCCACTCATCCTGGAGGCAGGAGGGCAGGCAGTGGCTGCCATCCACGGGCATCAGCAGCGGCCTTGGAGGGTGTGGAGGTGGGTCTGGTGGGGGCGGTGGTGGTGCAGTCCTGCATGGTGCATGTGAGGTCCATGGCCCGGATGGTGGGGATGGTGGGGGTGGTGAAAGTGTCCCAGGCGGCCCCGGGCTGGGAAGAACCAAGGCCGGGTCTGCCGAACTCGGTGTCTCCTTACAGCTGGACGGTTCATCTCCACATCGTGGTCCTGCTGTCCACCGTGCAGGCAGGTGGCCAGCACCAGCAGCAGCAGCAGAACGGCCAGAGCAGCGCCTGCGATCAAGCCCACGAGAGTCGTGCTCCCCAGGAGCCCGAGCATCTGGGAGCTGGAGAGTCCCCTCTGCTTAGTGGCTCCTGCTGCTTCCTCCCCTCCCGCGGCCT